TCCAAAGTCTTGTTTGAAAGGATAACCCCTCCTTTTGACAGGATTGGTCTTGCTTACACGTCAATCCTACAGAGCAGGCTGCCATTTCCAAGGGGCAATTCCCTATTTTAGCGTCCACAATTTTATTATAAGATGCAACACATCATTCCTAGATGGCGTGTTAAAATATCAGGAGGGGAGGAGGCAAGAGGCAGTGAGGAGGAGGAGAGGGTGTGTCTTGTATCTCCAAGTCAGGCTTTGGAGCAATCCTGGGCCTTTGGACTCTGCAGCTCAGGGTCTGGATCCTGAAGTGCTGCTTTGTTTCCTCCATCTAGGTGTTTGGACCCTACAAAGGAGTATTTGGACCTGTAAAATTCAGGCCTCGGCTCCCAGCATGAGGATTTGGGAATTTGGAATGGGGTGAGGCCTCTCAAAGAAGGCCTCAGCATCTAAGAAGGCCGCTTGTCAACTTGCAGTGAACGTGTGGACCCTAAAATCAAGGATTTCTTCCTTGAAAATGGCAGCCCGGTCCTTAAGATTGTGGGTGTAAACAAGAAAAAGCCACTAAAAAAGACAGTTTCTCCTTTCAAACAAGGCTTTGGAGCCTAAGGAAGAGGCTTTCTGCCCTAATATGTGACGCTGAGGACTAAAACAAAAATGTTTTGGTCCCTAAAAATGAGGGCCTGCGTCCAAAAACGGAGGGTGTAGGTGATAAAAAGCCTGTTGCATCCCCACTGGCTGCACTGCGCTGTGGAGGGCGCCTTGTCCAAACCGAGGTGTCCCGTGTGGCCTGGTCACAGGCAGGCAGTGCAGCAGGCTGTCACCGTGACAGGGAGCGCGGCCCGCCCTGCTCTGTCTGGATCTGAAGTGATGCTTTGCTCCCTCCGGATGGGTGCTTGGACCCGAAAAGGAGGCTTTGGAACCTAAAATTCAGGCCTCGGCTCCTAGCATGAGGATTTGGGAATTTGAAAGCAGGGGTGTTTCCTCTCAAAGAAAGCCTCGCCATTTAAAAGGCCGCTTTGCACCTTGCATTGAAAATGTGGACCCTAAAAATCGGGCATTGTGCCCTAAAAATGGCAGCCTGGCTAGTAAGAGTGTGGCTGGAAGCAAGGAAAATCTAGCTTTGGATCCAGAAGCAAGTGTCAGGGCCCTGACCCAAAGCACTCAGTCACTTGAAAGGAGCACCCTGTCTCTTAAATGGAAGGTTAAGGCAATCAGAAGAAGAGTTCAGATACCAAGTGGAGGTTGTGGACCCTGAACATAGCGATTTGGGGTGAAATAAGGAAGCATGGGGCCCTGAACCTAAAATTTAGGCCTCGGCTCCCAGCATGAGGATTTGGGAATATGGAATGAGGGGTTTTCCTCTCCAAATAAGGCCTCGGCATCTAAAAAGGGCCGCTTTGCACCTTACGATCAAAGTGTGGGACCCTAGAAATTGGGCATGTTGCCCTAAAACGGGCAGCCTGGTCCGTAAGAGTGTGGCTGGAAGCAAGAAAAATCTGACATTGGATCCAGAAGCTAGGTTAAGGGGGAGGCCTGGCCATCTAAGAAGGCCGCGTTGCATCTTATAATAGAATTGTGGATCCTAAAAATAGGGAATTGTTCCTTGGAAATGGCAGCCTGGTCTCTAAGGTTGATGTGTAAGCAACAAAAAACCAGGAGAGGTTATCCTTTCAATCAAGGCTTTTGAGCCCAAGGAAGAGGCTTTTGCCCTACTATGTGAGGCCGAGGCCTAGAAATGTCAGACAGCACAGCCTGCCCTCCTCTGTGTAGATCCAAGAGCAATGCTTTGCTCCCTCCAGATGGGTGTTTGGACCCGAAAAGGAGGCTTTGGGCCCAAAGCCTCAGGCCTTGGCTCTTCGAATGAACATTTTGAAACCAAAAATGAAAGAGGGTTCCTGTCAGCTAAGGTATTGCACCCTGTAAAGGCAGCTTTGCAGCCTACAATGAAACTGTGAAACACCAAAGTAAGGCATTGTGCCCTAAAAATGATGGCGTGGGCTTGAAAACTGAGGAGGTAAGCCATAAAAAGTCCCCTTTGGATCAGCATGGAGTTGCAGGGCCCTGAAAAGCAAGATTTGTTCACTAGAACGTAGAGCCTGGGGCTCAATTCTGAGGGGTCACGAGATCAAAAGACGACTTTGGATCCCAAGTGGAGGTGCTGGACCCTGAAAAGAAGGCGGTGGCAGGCAAACAAGGAAACACGGGGGCCTACTAATGAAGATCCTTTGGATCCTAACCAAGGGGTGGTCCTCAAAGTAGTGAGGCTTTGGACTTTAAAACTGGGGTTTGGGACCATGCAGCCCAGAGACTTTGAAGGACCAAAGAAGCCTTTTAGGATCCAACACCATTTTTCCCTTTCTTTTTTCCTTTTCTTTGTTTCGTTTATTTTTTTCTATTTATTTATTTATTTGATTTTTCAGACCCAAGGCCTCTGGTTCTGTGCTCAGAGCCTCTTCTTTGGGACACAAAGCACTGGTTTTGGTTTCCCCCTGCTGGGGGAAACTGCTGTCTTCAGAAGAGCTGGCCTCTGGAGGGAAGGCACTTGGAGACTCTCTCCCCAGTGCTACAGCGCCTGGCTGTCCTCGTGCAGCCTGGCAGCATCCCAAAAGGACGCTCAGTGCTGGCCAGAGTCAGAGGGGGCAGATCGTTCCTCCGGGCAAATGGTAAAGTGGAGAAAGGCAGCACTCCAGCACGCCCCTGCTGTCCCAACAGGGTGCTGGTTTTCCTCAGGTGGGCAGCCGAGTTCCAGCAAGGCCGCTCTCTCCCTGCCCCTCCTCCAAGAGGCAGGGGGAGAAAATACGACAGACACGTGGAGCTCGTGGTTTGACATACAAAAAGTTTAATTAAAGGGAAAAGGGAGAGGGAGGAAAAAAATGAAGGGACGGGCAGGGCAGGGCAGGGCAGGGCAGGGCAGGGCAGGGCAGGGCAGGGCAGGGCAGGGCAGGGCAGGGCAGGGAAGGGAAGGGAAGGGAAGGGAAGGGAAGGGAAGGGAAGGGAAGGGAAGGGAAGGGAAGGGAAGGGAAGGGAAGGGAAGGGAAGGGAAGGGAAGGGAAGGGAAGGGAAGGGAAGGGAAGGGAAGGGAAGGGAAGGGAAGGGAAGGAAGAGAAGGGAAGGGAAGAGAAGAAAATGGGGGAGACCACGCGAAAGGCCAGAGAGAGGGCAAAAGAGCGAGGCCCCCAGGAGTGGGGCGTGTGCGCAGAGCTGCGCTCCAGGGAGGGCTGCACAGTGCCCCCGGGGCTGGGGAGGCACAGCCTGCGTGTAGCTGAGGATGCTGCTGGCCAGCTCTGATGGCAACGAGGAGGAGGAGGAGGCCACTTTCCGCGCTGAGGGCGGGTGGCCCAGTGGAGCTGCGGCTGTGCCATCCCTGGCAGTGTCCCAGGCCGAAGCGGGGGTCTTGGAGCAGGCTCGCTGCTGGAGAGGCGCCGGCTGAAGCCCTGTTGTTCATGGGCTTCGGGAGCTGCTTCGGGCGTGCTCCCGGCACGCAGAAGGCCGGAGAAGTGGAGGGAACGTGCCCGGGGAGCGGGGCTGCGCCGCAGGCAGGAGGAGATGCCGGGAGCCTTCCAGCACGCTTAGCTGCCTGCCGGGGAAGAGCGTCGCCTCCTCCACGCCTTCTGCAGCCTGGAGCACAGCTGCCGAAAGCTGAAGCGCGAGCGTGGCCTTGGTGCTTGCAGGATCAGCACCGTCTGAATCGCCAGCGACGAGACCGACTTGCAGGGGTCATTTGCCAAGCCTTGCAGGACTGAGAGAACAGAGGAGAGGCGAGGTGACGGCCCTGTACCCACAGAGCGCCCAGCCCCCCACAGACGTTGCCCCCAGCTCTCCGCACAGCCAGGAGGGAGCAGGGGACAGGCTCCTGCCATCCCCCTCCCTGGCTCACCTTGGCAGATGTCCTGGCTCTTGCTCTGGTGCTGATCCAGCAGGTGCCTCCCCACGAGCCCTGGGGACACACGGCCTGTCAGCGCCCCCGGCTGCTCCCCGGGGCGCAGCACGAAGGCACAGGGACAGGGGACCCCAGGCTCGCGGCTCACCAGTGAACCTCACAGCCTCCCGCCGCAGGGGCTCCTGCAGGCTCTGCAGGTAGGGCAGGCTCTGGGCCAGGTACTCCTCTGCTGCGCTGCTCCTCCTGGCCAGCTGCAGAGGGAAGGGCGCGGGCTCAGCGCAGGGCGGCCCCGGCCCCGGCCCCGGCCCCGGCCCTGGGTGCAGAACTGTGCGTACCAGGCACTCGACGATCTTCCAGCTCTGCAGCGTCTCGGCCAGGTGCGCCAGCTGCCTCCAGCGCAGGAAGCGCGCAACACCAAGGAGGGCTTCCCGGGAGGCCTGCAGAACAGCTGAGATGGCAGCAGAGCCTGGGCAGAAGACCCTGCTCCCCCCCCCGCAGCCCCTCCGCAGGGAGGGGGCCTCAGTGGAGCCTAACGCTGCCAGCAGCTGCAGCACCCCTGGTGCTCGGGGGCCCCCAAGGCAGGGCAGGGCAGGGCAGGGCAGTCAGCATCGCCCTCCCCCGAGGAGCAAAATGCCCACCTCGGCCACGCTCTCGTCCTGGTCGTGCAGGTGGAGGGACAGCGGGAGCAGGCTCCTGTGTGCCACCTGCTGCAGCTTCTCTTGGCTGCCCTTCACAAAGCCCAGCGTGTCGAGGAAGAGGCGAATAGAGAGAAGCCGCACCGTACTTGAGTCCTGGGGAGGGCGAGAGGGGGACATGGGTCCTGCTGTGGGCAAAGTCCCCGATCCCCCAAAAGCGCTGCAAAACGAGCCTGCCCAAGGGCTCGCAGCGCCCAGGGCTGGGAAGCGGGCAGGGAGAGCCCCCAGCGGGCTGTCCCAGGGACGCAGCCATGGGGACGCAGCCTTACGTCGCCAAAGAGGGCTGGGAGCTTGCCGGCCAGCTCCAGAGCCGCGAGGCTGAGCGTCCTCCCCTCCAGGAGCTGCAGCATGGTGCTGAGCACGGGCAGAGCGACAGCGCAGGGTGTCGCTGTCTGCAGCCTGCAGCTGCTCCGTGATGCTCGGCAGCAGGACGAGCGTTTGCCTCACCTGTGTGAACAAAACACCTTCCTTTGGGGAAAGCAATGACTGCCCCCTGGGCGAAAACACTCTCCCAGCCCGCCCAACGCCCCTTCCCCTCCCCACTGCCTGGCAAGGTGCCGAGCCACAAGAGCCGGGGGCCAGCCCAGCCCAAGCCGCGGCACTCGTGGCGTTGCCGGCTGCCCCCGCTCACCGTGGCCGGCCTCTTGGTGAGCCCCAGGATCGCCCTGAGCACCAGGCTCTGCATGCCCAGGCACGGGCTCTGCAGGTAGCTGGCAAAGAGGCTCACGACGCAGTCCAGCTCGTCGCCGAGCTCTGTGCACTCCAGCAGCTGAAAAGGACGTGGGGCGCAGTGCCGGCTCAGCAGCAAGAATGCCAGGGCAGGAATGCCAGGGCACGGCCAAGCCTGGCCCCGAGGCAGCAGGGCTTGTGCAGAGCCCCACGTGGGCTCGCTGCTCCTGCTGCCCCTGCTCACCTTGCTGAGGATGACCATGGCCACCGTCTGCCAGGAGGAGGCCTCCGTGCGGAGCAGCTCAACCAGCTGGTGGATGATGGTGGCGCGCAGGCTCCTGGGCAACTCCTTCATTTCCCTGGCAGGGAGAACGGCAAGCAGGCGCCGTCAGCCCCGAGCCGGGCGGGCCCAGCTCTCCTGGCTTTGCAGCGCTCTCTTTTGCCACCAGCCCAGCGGCCACGGGCACCCATGCTGTGGCAGCACTTCCTCCAAGAAGCCCCTTTCACCTCCAGGGCTGGGATGGTGCCAACGAGGGGCTCTCACCTGGCCACCACCTGCACGCCCCAGAGGTGGCTCTCGGCGCTGAGAAGCGCGGCCCAGCCACCCTGCGCCTCGATGGCCAGCACCTGGCTCTCCAGGCCCACGCTGCGGAGCAGCGCTTTCAGGGCCTGCACCGTGGACCTGCAGGCAGAGAAGGGCCCGGGTCACGCCGGGAGCCCCAGCCCTGGGCTCCTCTGAGCAGCAGGGGCCGGGGATGTGGCACCTGACGGGAGTGAGCAGGTCCTGCCGGTGCTTCTCCCAGAAGACCTGCACCTCCTGCAGCTTCAGCTCCGTGGTGAAGGACACTTGGAAGAGGAGGGCCAGGAAGAGCTGGGGGAAAATGGCCTTCGCCTCCCCCCGGCTGGTAGGCAGCAGGAGGATCTCGTGGAGGGGCCTTGCTGCCTGCAGGAAGCACCCGGAGGCGGAGGCGTGGGCAGGGAGGGACAGAGGAGGACGCAGCCCCCCAGGCTGGTGCCCCAGGGTGCGGAGAAGGCTGGCAGGGGCCAGGGGAGGGGAGCGGGGCCCCTGCCCCTGCCCCTGCCCCTGCCCCTGCCCCTGCCCCTGCCCCTGCCCCTGCCCCTGCCCCGGCCCCTGCCCCGGCCCCTGCCCGACGGAGACGCAGACGGGCAAGCGAGGAACTCACGGCCAGGGCCAGGATGCGCGGGTGGTCCTTGGTGGAGGTGGATGTCTTGCAGCCAGACTGGTTCATGAGGATGCGGAGCAGCTCGCGCAGCACCCTCTCTGTGGCTGGGGGCTCAGACACCATCGCCCTCCACATGGTGACGGCGACGCTGCGGGACCCCCGGGCTGTCAGCAGGGCCGCCCCCGGCCCGGCTGACGGCTTTGGGGGTGTGCGAGAGGAGCCCTGCTGGGCCCCGTACCTGGTGCAGGTCAGCGAGCACTGCAGCAGGCTGGCAACCGTCTCCCTGGGGCACTTGCTGGCCAGCAGCAGCAGGGCCCTGTCCAGGCTCTGAAGGGCCAGCGCGGCTCTGACGGACGGCAGGCTTCTGTAGATGGCCCACACGATGTGGAGCACCTGCCGGTGGGACACGGCTGAGACTGGGCCGGCACCAGGGCAGGAACAGAGCCCCGAGGAGCTCTGGAGGCTGGAGCCGTGGCCGTGGCCGGGGGTGCTGGCGGGCACCCACCTGTCCCGAATGGAAGTCGGTCTCTGCCGCCAGCACGTCCACCATGTGGGCAGCCAGCTCGGTGCTGTGGGGACTCGGGGCTCTCATGCTCTGCACGGCGGCGAGGAAGACGCCCAGGCGTTCCAAGGGCTGCAGGTACTTCATGAAGATCTGTGGGAGGAAGGGCAGCACGTCAGCCACCGCGAGGGCTGCGACGGCCCCGCTCAGCCCTGCTGCTCCCAGCGCCCCAGGAGAGCTGGGAGCAGGGGCTGGGCGACGGCTGGGGTGCGGCCGCGTGCGGGCCCCGTGGGGACCGGGCTTTGTCGGGGACAGCGCCGGTCCTCTTGCTGCTGTCGCAGGGTCGGGCTCTCCTCCGGGGCTCAGGGCTCAGGGCTCAGGGCTCGGGGCTGGCGCTTCTCACCATGAACATCCTGTTGCTGTTGCTGTCTTCGGAGAGCTGCAAGGACAGGTGAGCTCGCCAGCTCTGCCAGCCCTGCAGCTGCTCGGCATCCTGGTCGCACAGCCTTGTGCCTGGAGAAAAGCGGACACAGTGTCTGTCGGCGGGGGGGCCTGGGGAACTGGCAGTGGCAGCCGGGGGCTCGGGCACAAGCCTCCCTGGCAGGAAGGGGGCATGCCAGAGCAGAGCCGGGGGCAGCGCGGCCAGGGAGGGCCCGGGCTCTCGCGCTCAGGGCAGGGGGAAGGGCTCGTCAGCCCGCGGCAAGGCAGCCGGGCTCGCTCGCTCGCTCGCTCGGGTCTCTCCTGCTGAGGAGAGGGGCCCAGGCGGCCTGGTGCTGGCCTGGCTGTGCCCGTGTCTGGAGGGACCCGGCCCGACGCGGCTCCGCTCACTTCTTTGCTGTGTGACGAAGAGGCAGAGGTGGCGCACAGCCTTGGCTGCCTCGTGGCTTTTTCCCTCACTCTCGCAGGTGCAGCACAGGAGGAGGTACCCCACCAGCCTCCCCAGCAAGGCGAAGCGGTGCTTCTCGGGGTGATGATGCCTCAGCACTGTGGCTCCTGCAAAGCAGGAGCTGACCTGGGGAGAGAGGCAGCGCGGGAGCACGGCTGAGCGGGGCGGCAGGGCCCCAGCCCCAGCCCCGGCTCTGCGCAAGCCTGGAGCTGGGGAGAGCCGCGGCCGGGGAGCGAGGCCGGGGGCGCCAGGGCTGCCTGCAGCAGGGGCTCCCTACCTGGGGTAAGGAGCAGGTGTTGAGGAAGGCGGCCAGCCCGGCGATCCGCGCCATGGCCCTCTCCTCCACGGCCTCCGGCTGCTGCTGGGTGAAGGGCAGCAGGAGCTGGGGGGAGAAAAGCTGCTGGTGTGCCCGCAGCACGGAGCACTGCTCCTTGCCGTCGTCCCCCCGCTGCGCTGGCCAGGCGGGTTGCCGTGTCCCCGTCCTGCTGAAGCCCAGCCTTTGCCCAGCCCCACCTTCACGATGTTCTGCAGCTCCAGGAGGCCGCAGGCGCCGGCGCTGCTCACCAGCGCCTGCAGCAGGCTGTCCAGGGCTTCCACGGTCTGCAAAGAGGAGGACAGGGCTCGGGGCGCCCGAACACGGAGCAGTGGCATCCCCAGAGCCCAGCCCGTGCATACCCTGACGTAGAGAGACGTGTCCATGTCTGTCCCGTCCTCGTGGCCAGGGAGGTGGAAGACCCCGCGGAAGCAGGCGCGCAGGAGGCCGTTGGTCATGGCCGGCGGCAGCAGCCGCGCTGTGCTGCAAGGGGAGGGGGGCAGAGGTGTGGAACGCCCCCTGTGCGGCACCCTGTGCCCCACTCGGGGCCCCTGGCCGGGAGTGGCGGCCAAGCCCGCGCTGGCCCAGGTACCTCATGGCGGCGATGGCGAGCATGGCTTTCTGCCGCACCTCCGTGTCCAGGCGATCGCTGGGCTCCTCCTGCAGCAGCGCCTGCAGGGCACAGCGCGATGGATGGCACAGGGCAGCGTCCCCTGGCCAGCGAGCGGCTCCAGGGGCTGGCCTACAGCCTACAGGATGGCTGCCCCGTCCCAGACGGCTCCCGGTGCCCAGCACCCGGCCAGAGGGTGCTCCCCGCGGGGCAGGGCGTCCCCTCACCTCGATGCTCTGCGCCACCTCCAGCTGGCAGAAATACACCGCGTCCCACGTGTGCGGGTCCGCGACGGCGGCTTGGCAGGCGTCGCAGACGGAGGCCAGAAACCTCAGCTTCTGCGCCTCTCGCTGAGCCGCGGAGGGGAGAGACGAGCGAGCGGGTCAGGGGAGCCCAGCAGGGGCTGCCCGCAGGAGGCCAGCAGCCGCGGCACAAAAGCGAGCGGTACCTTGGGTCTGCGGCTGCAGCAAGCGCGGAGGAAGCTCAGGGCGTCCTCTTCCTCCTGATGCGCCACGGCCGAGGCAGAAGGGCCCACGCCTGAGCCAGAGGGCGCCTGCAGTGGCTGCACCTCAGTCTCCTCATAGGGCTGCGGCTGGGGCCTGGAGGCCGGGGAGGCCCCAGCCTCCTCCAGCCAGGCCGCTCGCGGGGAGCAGGGGGGTCTCCCTGACATCCTGCCGGGAGCGCTCAGGAGGGAATGTGGCTCCTGCTCCTGTGGCGGGGGAGGGATGCCACAAAGTGCCACCGCTGCCACCGGCCCCAGGCCCCCGCGGGTGGCCCCAGAGCCCCGCGGGGGTACTGTCCCCAGGGGCCTGCAGACGCCAGCCCCTGTCCTGGAGGGAGGTCCCCCTGCCCGGGGCTGCCCCCAGCCCCACTGCCGAACCAGGCCCCTTGGGGCCGGCCCCGCTGCGCAGCCCTGGCAGCGCTGCCCCACCTGCTCCTCAGCCCTGGCTCCTGCGCTGGCTTTCTGGGGCAAGGTGCCCGCGCTTTGTGCCTTTGCTTCGCACCTGGAGCACGTGGGAGCACTCCAAGCCGTCGCTGCTGCACGGAACCAGGTCCGTTGTGGCTGTTGGGACAGGACCCGCCCCAGAGGCCCTGCTGCCGGTTCCGGAGACGCTGCCTGGGCCCTGCAGCGGGCAGACTAAATTAGAATAACATTGTGGACCCTAAACACGGGGAACTGTTCCTTGGAAGTGGCCGCCTGGTCCACGACATTGACGTGGAAGCAAGAAAAAGCCACTAAAAAGGAGGGGTTATCCTTGCAAACAAGGCTTTGGAGTCCCAGGAAGAGGCTTTCTGCCCTAATATGTGATGCTGAGGTCTAAAAAGAATGCTTTGGGCCCTGAAAATGAGAGCCTGTGTCCAAAAACAGAGGGTGTAGGTGATAAAGGCGGCTTTGGATCCCAACTATAGGCTCTCTTGTCCTGAAAACGTCCTGAAAGCTGGGTGCTTAAGAACAAGGCTGTGGTCTATAAAGAGGAGCCTTGGTGCCATGCCTGTATGCTTCTCAGCTGCAAAGAAAGGGTGAGAAAAAGGCTTTGGATCTGCAAAAGATGCTCTTAGCCCTGAAGAGAAGGGGTTATAGGGTGAAAATGAGACCTTTGATCCTAATGAGGAAGGCCCCAAGAAGGCGGCTCTGAATTCAAGAGTTGGGTCTCCAGGCCCTAATATTAAGGCTTTGGTCACCAAAAAGGAGACTCTTGGCCCCACAAAGGAGAAGGTAGGCAATCAGCAGGGGACTTAGGATCCCAAAGCAGCGTCTGGGCCCTGAAAATCAGGGTTTGGAGCCTGAGCATGAGACGTCAGCCATGAAGAATGAAGTTTTAGAGCCTAGCATGGGGGTCTCTGGACACTAAAACGGGGCTTTGAACCCAGAAAATGAGCCTTTGTACCCCAACCTGAGGCTTTGAGTCCCAAGGAGAAGGCTCTGGGTGCTAAAAAAGAGGCTTTGTGCTCTCAGGTTGAGCCTTTGGGATGTGACAGTCAGGCCTTGACTCAGCAAATGATGATCCTGGCACTGAAAAGGAGGGTTCGTTCTCTAAAAAGGGCTTTTGAGCCCAAGGAGGATGCTTTTTGCCCTAATATGTGATGCTGGGGCCTAAAAATCATGGACAGCGCAGCCCGCTTCCTCTGTCTGGATCCTAAAGTGATGCTTTGATCCCTCCAGATGGGTGTTTGGACCCAAAGAGGAGGCTTTGGGCTCTAACATTCAGGCCTCATCTCCTAGCATGAGGATTTGGGAATTTGAAAGGAGGGCTGTTCCTCTCCAATAAGGCCTCACCATCTAAGAAGTCCGCATTGCAGGGAACCAGGTCCGTTGTGTCCGTTGGGACAGGACCTGCCACAGAGGCCCTGCTCCCGGTTCCAGAGATGGTCCCTGGGCCCTGATGTGGCAATAATAAGGTTATAATAAAATTGTGACCCTAAAAATAGGGGTTTGTTCCTTGTAAGTGGCAGCCTGGTCCATAAGAGTGTGGCTGGAAGCAAGGAAAATCTTGTATCTCCAAGTCAGGCTTTGGAGCCAAAACCTGGGCCTTTGGACTCTGCAGCTCAGGGTCTGGATCCTGAAGTGTTGTTTTGCACCCTCCATATACGTGTTTGGGCCCAATAAGGAGGCTTTGGGCCCTAAAATTGAGGCCCCAGCTCCTAGCATGAGGATTTGGGAATATGGAATGAGGGGTTTTCCTCTCAAATAAGGTCTCAGCATCTAAAAGGGCCACTTTGCACCTTACGATCAAAGTGTGGACCCTAGAAATCGGGCATTGTTACAAGTTGCCCCCTTAATTAATTTTCAGAGAGCATTGCATTAATCATAGAAAGGAATTTATTGACTAAGCAACAGCAAGCAAAACAGCGCTGGGCGGCCGGGGAGTCTCGGCTCCGCCAACGGCACGCACCTCACCCCCGCCAGGGTCCCTTTTTATATCTTGGTGATTTCAGGATTACGCAGCACATCCTGGTATATTCTGCGACTGCGCGCACTGTTGCTAGGGGGTCGTCTCTGTCCCTCTGGTGGTCGTGAAGATGAAGGCCGTAGTCTTCCTCGGCGTTGTGGTTCAACTTCTTTTTTTATTTGCAGAAGGAGAGAAGGGGAGGGGGTTCTCTTTTTTGTTACATTAAGCAAAAGAATTTTCATAGTGTCTAGCTAAGCATTATACAGCTCCTTACTTCAGCAGGGAGTTTTCACAACTCCCGTTCCTCAAACAGAACTCCTTGTTTTTATAATACAAAAGACAATGAACAAACATTTATTGTGTATTACACTACCTACTGGAAATGCTTTGCATTTTATTCAGGTACTTTTTTTTTTTTATTATTTTTTTTTTAATTACACTGCCATTTCCTCCTCAATTCAACTCTGGTAATAAGCTGCACAATCACCTCTGTTAAATTGTGCAAGTAGCATTGCATTATCCTAGGCAGCCACATGAGTCACCGCAAAGTGAAGGGTTTGTAACAGCGCCAAAACCAACCGCTTCAAGCTGAAAACGATCTTTTTCCCTCACCTCCCACAGCTATAAAGTTCCACCCACCCGTGTATCTCAGCCGCCCCTCATTATGAAGATCATCACTCATTTCAGTAACAGGCGTTCCACACAAAACGCCGACTTTTTCGCTTTATTGAACCGCCAGCAGGGGCTGTCGGGCAGCCTGCGGGCACTCCGGCAGCACCCAGGCCGGCAGCAGCCACCCCCGAGCGGAGCAGGCTCCCCGCTGCCCGCGGCCGCCATTTTCCCTCCCCTCACGCCATTCCCCCCCTCAGCCTCCGCGCAGGCGCAGCGTCCCGCGGGGCGGGGGCTCGGGGCGCTGCCTCACGGGGGCCGGCGGCGTGCGCGGCCTCCCCGCGCTGCGGAGGGTGCGGGCGGGCGGCGGGGCCGGGCCGGGCGCTGTGTGTGGAGGGCGGCGGCGTGGGGGTAGTGTAAAAAGGGGCGAATTTTCACTCTTCAATATGCTTTGTTTCCGCTTTTTTTTAGGAGGAAACGTTAATAGTAGGAAATGGCAGAAGCAGTTTTCCGTCCCCCGAGGAGGAAAAGAAGAGTGTTTGAGTCGTACGAAGCCCCCTTTCCCGTGGATGTAGGTGGGGAGGATTTCAGAATGTGCCAGGCTGAAATTATGAACAACAATGTTATTGTGAGGAACCCCGAGGACATTGAGCGGCTCTATAACAAGGTGGTGTACAGCTTCTGCACAGTACCTCTAGTGTGTAAGCACAGGTAGAGCCCGTAGAGCATAATGTTGGTTTAAAACCTGCCTGCCTCATGCTGCCCTGCCCTGTTAGCCTCCAGTAACACACCACATCTCCCTCCTCTCCAGAAATATGTACAAAACATACTTTCTGTAACAAATACAGAAAGTATTTCATCCTTAACCCAGCAAATAAATACTGGAATGAAGTGACATGAGCAAAAACAAACAAAAGTTCATGTCTGTTATGTTTGTTTATTTTTTCAATGCTTATGCAGTCTTGCAGAAGCACTTTCTTGTTTTTAAAGCTCAGAAAGTTGGAATATTGATGCGTTATAAATGCTTGTAAAATTCTTTTAAGCTCAGAGTTTATTGAAGTTACTTCTTGAGTAATACGAGCTCTGAGCCCTTTATGTCTGAGTACCGTTTCATCACCATTCTTAAGCTGTAGTTTTATCCATCTCTGTTTTCTGTTATGCGTTGTCACACATCAGGTGCTTTCTTCTGCATCTGCTTTCAACAGTCTGCTTAGAGATGTCATCTGACAAATATTTGAAATTGAGGAAAAAGACCCAAAACTTGAAGTTTTGAGTGCAAGAGTACTGTGCATGGGTTATGCTTTCCCATTAAATCTACTTTGATCCAGCTTTTGGAGGCCTCATCCCAAATTGAGACTGGCCTGTGTCAGGCACTGTACAAAGGTAGAAAAAAAATGTAGCCCCTGGTTCAGTGAAGCTCAATAGAACAGGGACAACAGATCAGCGCAGACCAGCTCTGAATGCAGCCCTTCACCAAACTGGCACAAGAGGCTGTGCTATCAGGCTAGTTATCAGAAGCTAAGCAAAAAGCTTTAGGCTAAGATTACATGCTTAAGATTTCAAATACTTTTTTTCAGCAGATGAGGGCAGTAAATATTCTGTCACTTGAAAAAAGGTTCATTTTTGTCTGATGATAAAATATTTTTTCCTTATCTTTGAAGGGTTATTTTGGAAAAGGTATTCTTTCGAAAAGTCGACCAGTGTACAGCATTTCCAATCCTTACTTGGTTTCTAAATGGCAAGGTAAATTGTGCCCATTTGTACTTTATTCACTAACTAATAATACTTTTGATTTCTCTTCACTTGTTGAAGATATACGTGTATTATCTTCATATATACATATATATTATATTATATTATATACAATGTATATACTATATATTATATATAGTATATAATAATATATAATATACTTCATATATATATATATATATTTCATATATTATATACATGTATAAACAGCACACAGAGTCTGTTGTGCCAGATCAAAATCCATCTATTCCCATATCTTGTCTCTGATGATGGCCAGTACAAGATTCCCGGAAAAAATACATATGTTGATATCTCCCTAGCGCATTTTTCTAACCTCCACTAATTTGTTTTGAGACTCCGTTAAGTAAAGGTGTATTCGTTGGATGTGTCTTCCCATAACTGTCCAGTTTTTCTAGGTTTTAATCTGCAGATTTAGTGTCCATGAAATCATGAGGCAAGGATATGTGAAAACTATCTACTAGTTGCTAGTAGTTGCTGGTGTGCTCTTGGTTCCTTAGAGAAAGACTGTCGTGCTTTATCCATCTGTTCCATGACAATTAAGTCTACACAGACCTTACTGGATTTTATAATATCCTTGCAGAATTGTCTTTTTAAAAGCTGGAGAAAAATAGTTTATTTAGTTATCCTGTGTAGACCATTTCATCTTCATTACCTCTGCACCTTTTCTAGTTCTCGTGTGTCCTTAATACACGTAGGACCAAAATGGTACAATATTGAAAATGTACTAATAATTGAAAATTATTAGGCTGTAGATTGTCTCAATGATCAAAATGTCATGAAAACTTTTTAATGTTGATGAAGCAATGTACAATTTTTCTTAATACAGGTGCTAACGTAAACATATTATAACGTATTATACAGCTCCTTACTTCAGCAGGGAGCCTTCGCAATTCCCGCTCCTCAAGCAGAACTCCTTGTTTTTATAATACAAAAGGCAATGAACAAACATTTATTGCGTATTACAATCCCTCCTTTTTCTTTTAGTTACTCATTTTGTTCATTGAAGCTCTGCAATGCCTGGCTACTAAGAACTAATGTTTCCTTGATTCCTTCGCTGGTACTTATTGGCTCGTATTTGGTATGTTTGAGCATTAAATGTGCCGCTTCTAAACGTCCCTTTACAATCACAATCAATTTGTTAAAAATACATGGTCCAAAAGTTAGTGCTATTATTAATAACAACAAAGGTCCTGTTATTGTTGATAATAAAGTAGTAAGCTAAGGTGAACAATTAAACCAAGATTCATACCAGCTCTGTCGGGCTTCATTCTGCAGTTTCCTTTTTTTTTTTTCCAACCCTTCCCTGGATCTTGCCATTGTATTTCTTACCACTCCAGTGTGATCAGTATACATATAGCACTCCTCTTTCAGGGCTACACACAGCCCGCCCTGTTGTAAAAAATACCAAATCAAATCCCCTACGATTTTGTAACACTACCTCTGAAAATGGCCTGATAGATTTTCCAGGGCCGAGATGGATTGTTCAATTTGGGTCAGGTCCTCGTCCACAGCAATGCATAAGGAAGTAAATTCTTGATTTTGTTTAACCAATGAGGCTACCCTGGTCCCCACTCCAGCTCCTCCCAGGATTATTAGGGTGGCCAAAGTTAGAGCCGTGAATGGTTCCCGTCTTTCCAGATGATGACTTTCCACTGTGTCTGGGTGTACATATAATCCTCAGGGTGGTATAGAATCCTTGGTATAATTATCACCTGTATACAGAAATCACGAGACGCATTAAAGAGTTTTAGTGATAGACAAGGAGTTATTCCCACTCACAAACAAACCCACCTAGCATTGTTGGCTGGGATTAACCACTCGGCTGATTGTTTTCCATTCTCCAAGATATTACGTAGGTGACACTTCCCACTAGGAACCGTGCACACACACCTACCACCTCCAGTGACTTGTGTTAGTGTTACCCTTATGTCTTTTCCCCAACTGCATTGTAGAGGGTTGTTCTCGTTTGTGCGGGAGGGCTCCCCAGGATTCCCGATAGCATCATAACATGAAGGCCTTATACTAAAGCATAATCAACAGTGTTTTGTTACATTTGGGTTTGTTTTGTTTAATAATTGGTAGCTGGCATTCATGACCCCCCCATATGTTATTCCCAGCTATGTTATCATTCTCGGCTTTACCTGAGCTCGTAGGGCTGCCAAGGGTTGGCACTGTAGTATTTTCCGCAGGCTGGATTCCCTGGACATTTTCTGACAATACCTCATTTAGTCCTACTGCCTGGGGCCTATCAGCATCCTCCTTTTTATTAGTATGAGTCCTCCCCTATCTGTTCTGTTTGTAAAATCTGACACCTCACATTTTTCCTAGTACCCAGCTAGTATCATCCAAGTTTGTTATATTTATATATAGAACCTTGCAAATTTCTTTATTTCCATGGAAGGTTCCTGTATACCCTATACCATGCCCTTGCCACCTGTAACGGGGACCTGCTTGTTGGTTACAACCTTGCAGCCCATATCCCACTTGTAAAATTTTATCCCAACCAGCCCAAGTGTCCAGTCCATAGCAATGGTTTCACACCCCCGGTATGCACAGTAATACACCTTCAGGTAAATTACAGTACCCCTTTCCTGGCTTAGAACTTGGGCAGAAATAAAATCCTGATTGGTTAAAGCATGGCTGCACTGACACCAGGTCACATAATGTGATTCAGAAACTGGGAGCACCCGCTGTCGTTTGCTGGATGATGAATTGATCCTTTCATCTGATCAAGCTCCATTTAAAAGGCTGATGGGGATGCGCAGACCCATAGCTGACCAAAACGATGATACTGACTCCCGTGTATCGTAGGAGGTGGTTGGAGCCCATCTAAATTGGCGGCCCCTCAGTCCCCCACCGTTTTCACTTCTCTGCCTCGCTTGTCAGTTCGGTTGCAGCGAACTACAAGGTATCGGTTCTTCTTGACAGCAGCAGTGTTCTTCAGGGGAACCTACTAGGAAGCCTTTGAAACAGGGCCTCCTCCCCTTCCCACGATACACAGATAATATAAAATACTTATCGAGTCCGTCTTAGTGTCAGTCCCCTGCGGCCTGTGGTGAGGACCATGGTGAAGCAGGATGTCCCCCTGCAGCCCATGGAGTACCACGGTGCAGCAGGTTTCCACGCTGCAGCCAATGGAGGAGACCACGGTGGAGCAGGTGGCCCTGCACCGATGGAGGCTGCCGCCTGTGGAAGACCCCTGCCGGAGCAGATTCCAGGCCGGACCTGTAGCCCGTGGAGAAGAGCCCACGCAGGAGCAGGTGACCTAGCAGGAGCTGCTGCCCGTAGGGGAGCCAGGTTGGAGCAGTTTTCTCCTGAGTGATGGACCCCGTGGTATGGACCCATATCTGGAGCAGCTCTGGAAGAGCTGCTGCCTGTGGGAAGCCCACGCCAGATCAGTTCATCAAGGACTGCATCCCGTGGGTGGGACACCACAGCACAGGGGACGAGAGTGACCGAGAAGGAGCAGTGAAGAAGCACTGGAGGCTGACCATAATCCCCATTCCCCCGTTCCCCTGCGCCACTCGGTGGGAGGAGGTGGAAGAGGGTGGATGGGGGAGAGGTGCTTTTGGTTTCTTTCCTTTTGTTTCTCACTTCTCTAGCTTGTTAGTAATGAGCAATAAATCTTACTATCTGTCTTCTTATGCTGAGTCTGTTTTGCCCGTTAACAATAATTATTGCGTGATTTTCTCGTCCTTATCTCAACCCTTGAGCCCTTTTCACATATTTTCTCCCCATTCCTCTTTGAGGAGGGGGAGTGAGAGAGCGGCTGTGGTGGAGCTCAGCTGCCCACTCGAGCAGAACCACGACACCCGCACACCCAGTGCTGTTTACTTGCCTTTTATACTTTTTATCAATATTCTTTTATTAATATTACTAAATTCAGATTCAGTTGAGACTTCATTTATAACACGGTGCAACTGAGGGCCCTAAAAAAGAAGATATTGTGCCCTGAAATTGAAAGCCTGGGCCAGAAAAGTGAGGGTGTAAGCACTAAGAAGCCAGTTTTGTCTCCTGAGAGCAGTCTTAGGGCCCTGAACGAAAGGGCTTGGTCCCTACAAATGAGGCCCTGGGCCTGCAAACTGAGGCTTTAGATGATCAGAAGAAGACCTGGGATGCCAAGTGGAGCTTCTGGAGCTTGAAAAGAAGGCTTTGGAGCCTAGAGAGGAAACACCAGGGGTCTAACGGGGGGGAGGGAAGGGAGGCAGGGGGATATGGCTCAGCTGTGCAAGTGAGGCTGAAGCCGACACGCGCGTGTGATCTCTCCGCACAGATGGGATTGGCAGCAAGCTTTATTGTGATGGCGGCTGGGGACTGGGGCCACGACGTCGGGCTGGAGCATGGCTGCTCCCGCGGCGTTGTTCAGGCCGGCTGTAGGGATTTGAGGCCCGACGTTGTAACCGGGAGCGGCTTCGTGTCCGGACTGGCCGGGCGTGGCTGCAGTGGCTGCTGCGTTCAGGCACCGGGGAATCGCTGGAGGACCCCGATGCCGTTTCGCTCTCAGAGCTGCTGCTGCTGCTGCTGCTGCTGCTCTGAGCACAGGGGGATGCAGCACGTCTGCTCCCACGCTGTCTCCGGGGCCGGCTCTGGGTATTTGTGGCCTGACGTAATGGGGAGCAGCTTCTTGCCCGGGCCGTCCCCTGCTGGCTGGAGCATCGTCTCCGTTTACACCTTGGGGATCCACTGGGGGACCCCGATGCCGCCTGCCTGGGAGATCGGGTGGTGCTGCTGCTCCCAGCACCGGTTTGTGGTGCATGGCTGCTCCTGTGGCGTCTTCTGGGCCTGTTGCAGGTGTCTTGGGCCTGATGTAAACGTGGGCGAATTGTCCTCTGCTCTGTCCCCTGCTGCCTGGTGGGGCTGCTGCTCTCAGGTACCAGGGAACTGTAGGATGGCCCTGGTGCTGCCTGGCTGCTGGTGCTGCAGCTGCTGCTTTCGGGTGCTGGGGAGCCACAGGAGGGCCCCAGAATATCCAGACTGGAGGTGCCAGGGCTGGTGAGCCCCAGGTTGGCACTGCAAGCCGTAATGCAGGAACTGCTGGACGTTCCTGGTGCTGTTTCACTGTCAGAGCTGCTACTGCTGTCACTGCTGCGCTGAGCACTAGGGGTTGTAGCAGGTCTGCTGCCACACCGTCTTCCAGTCTGCTTCTGGATATTTGGAGCCCGATGTTGTAACGGTGAATGGCTTCTTCTCTGGGGTCGCCCCTGCTGGCTGGAGGATCGTCGCCGTTTACGCCTTGGGGATCCACTGGGGGACCCCGATGCCGCCTGCCTGGGAGATCGGGTGGTGCTGCTGCTCCCAGCACCGGTTTGTGGTTCATGGCATCTCCTGCGGCGTCTTTGGGGCTGGCTCTGGGCATCTGTGGCCTGATGTTCCAGCGGTGAGCGGCTTCTTCTCTGGGGTCGTCCCCGCTGGCTGGGAGGGACGACCTGCCAGCGGGCACCATGGAGTGACTGGAGGTTCCTGGTGCCCTCTGTCTGGCCAAGCTGGGCGTGCTGCTCTCAGCGCTGGGTTCTGCAGCACGGCTCCTCGTGCGGCTTCTTCCAGGATCATTACAGGTGTCCTGGGCCTGACGTACAGGTTGGCGGATTGCCCTCTCTTCTTTTGCTGGCCTTCCACTCTCAGTCCCCTGGGAGCTGTGGGATGGCCCTGGTGCTGCCTGGCTGCTGCTGCTGCTGCTGAGGCTGCTGCTTTCAGGTGCTGGGGAGCCATGGGAGGGCCCCGGAGCCTCTGCACTGGAGGTGCTAGAGCTGGCGAGCCCCTGGTTGGCACTGGAGGCTGTAAGAGGAGGCAGGAAGGTGAGTGGGATGGACTTCCAGACCCACGGCTGTAGAGGCTCTGCTCCATCCTGGGTCAGAGAGACTCTGGCAAGGCTGCCCTGAGCCCCTGCAGCCCAGCAGCATGTGGCCTGCGCGTCTTACCGTTGTCCATGCCAGCACAGCTGGCGCACTCCCAGGTGCCTGCTCTGTTGGTCAAGTTGGAGCAGCGCCGGTGGGTGCCTTTGGCAGCACAGGAGCGGCACAGGAGCAGCTGCCAGGGCCTGGGGAAGAAGCAAAGGGTTGTGGGTGTGAGGACAAAGCGTCTGAGGCAGAGAGTGGCTGGCACATCCCTTCTGCTCTGTCCTGCCTCCCCCAGCCTGCAGCGATGCTGAGGTCCCGTGCAGAGCCCCAGATGGCTGCTGAGGCAACTCACCCGTGTACTTCTGCCTGCTCCCTGCCTCGTGGGTAAAGGCATTCGCTGGCATCACAGCGCTGGTGCCTCTCACGCTGTGATGCAAAGGCGTCGTTGTCCTCCCAGGTTGGTAGTCTGCAAGAGAAGGCACCACAACAGAAGTTCCCCTGTGGCCTGTGGTGAGGACCATGGCGGAGCAGGCTGTCCGCCTGCAGCCCATGGAGTACCACAGTGGAGCAGGGTTTCACGCTGTAGCCCATGGAAGAGGCCACGGTGGAGCAGGTGGCCCTGCACCGAAGCAGGCTGCAGCCTGTGGAGGACCCCCGCCGGAGCAGATTGTGGGCTGGAGCTGCAGCCTGTGGAGCAGAGCCCACGCAGGAGCAGGGGGCCTGGCAGGAGCTGCCACCCGTGGGGGACCCAGGTTGGAGCAGTTTGCTCCTGAGGGGTGGACCTCAGGAGCAAACTATAACAGTATGGAGACCAATAAAATCTCCCCTTAGTTTTCAGTGTTGAGATCCAACTTCCAGATCCCAAACTGACAAAATAGCACACAATAGCTGAGGTGGATACAGTAAGCCCCCAAGCCACCACAACCACACAACCTTTCCCTTTACCCAACGCCCCTCTAACCACTCGTAGCACTTAAAATGGGGAGGGAGGGAATTTTCTCACAAATAAGGTTTTGCACCCGAAAAATGCAGCTCTGCACCTTACAGTGCAAATGGGGGGCCCTAAAAAAGAAGATATTGTGCCCTGAAAATGACAGCCTGGGCCAGAAAAGTGAGGGTGTAAGCACTAAGAAGCCAGTTTTGTCTCCTGAGAGCAGTCTTAGGGCCCTGAACGAAAGGGCTTGGTCCCTACAAATGAGGCCCTGGGCCTGCAAACTGAGGGTTTAGATGATCAGAAGAAGACTTGGGATGCCAAGTGGAGCTTCTGGAGCTTGAAAAGAAGGCTTTGGAGCCTAGAGAGGAAACACGGGGGCCTCCTAATGAGGCTTTGAACACTTAAAATGGGGAGGGAGAGAGAGACGAAGGGAGGGAGGGAGGGAGAGGGAGGGGGAGTGTGGACAGGCCTGGTCGTCAAGGTGAGGCTTTAGACCTGGACCCTGGGCCTTTGGAGTCTCTAGCTTACGGCCTGTGTTATAAGTTGCCCCCTTAATTAATTTTCAGAGAGCATTGCATTAAGAATAGAAAGGAATTTATTGAGCAAGCCAACAGCAAGCAAAACAGTGCTGGGCAGCCGGGGAGTCTCGGCTCCGCCATCGGCACGCACCTCACCCCCACCAGGGTCCCTTTTTATATCTCGGTAATTCCGGGATTATGCAGCACATCCTGGTATATTCTGCGACTGCGCGCACTGTTGCTAGGGCGTTGTCTCTGTCCCTCTGGTGGTCGTGAAGACGAAGGCTGTAGTCTTCCTCGGCATTGTGGTTCAACTTCTTTTTTTTAGATTTGGTCATGTTGAAGATCCTTTGGATCCTAACCAAGGGGTGGTCCTCAAAGTAGTGAGGCTTTGGACTATAAAACAGGTTTTGGACCATGCAGCCCAGAGGCTTTGAGGGACCAAAGAATCTTTTAGGATCCAACACCATTTTTCTCTTTCTTTTTTCCTTTTCTGTTTTTATTTGTTTTCTATTTATTTATTTATTTATTTTGAATCATTCAGACCCAAGGCCTCTAGGATGCTGAGGATGCTGCTGGCCAGCTCTGATGGCAACGAGGAGGAGGAGGCCACTTTCCACCCTGAGGGTGGGTGGCCCAGTGGAGCTGCGGCTGTGGCTGATGCCATGCAGCCCCAGCCCCATGCATGCAGCCCCTGTGCCAGCAGGGTGCGGCCATGAGGTCACAGCGCCGCGCTGTGTCGCTGTGCCAGGCCACGGGCACCTCTCTGCGCCGGCCCCAACGGCGGCACTCACGCGGCGGTGGCAGCATGGGGCGGATGTGGGGGGCTGCGGCCCCCACCCGCCTCCTCCTCCTCCTCCTCGTGCTGTGTGCCCGGGATGCCTGGGCTATGCCAAGGCGAGCGCTGGGAGCAGGTGGGCGCCAGCACCGGGGGCAGCGGCAGGGCCGGATGCAGGCGAGTCGCCGGAGGGGCTGGGGGCCGAAGCCTGGGCTGAGCCCCCCCGGGGCCCCTGTGAGCCGAGCCATGCGCCGCGCTGCCCCGGCTCCAGCCTTCCCCTCTGTCGGGAGGTCCCTGAGCCCCGCCGCAGCCTCGGGCATCTAGCCCCGTGCCCCGGCCCCTCCGTCACTGCAGGGTGCTCGGGGACACAACGGGCAAGGGGAACGTGTCTGCTCTCTGCTTGCTTCCAGGTGACGATGCGCTCGGCAGCGCTTCCCCAGCTCCTCAGCTGGGTCCTGGAGTGGAGCTCCAGGGGCAGCCCAGCGGTAAGTTGTCACCGTCCCCTGCCTCCAAAGCAGCAGCACTGGTCCGCGGGCGAGTGGAGGTCCTGCGCAGGCAGACCACCCCCTTGCGAGGGGTCGTCCACTCCCTGGGGGGGCTTCCCGAGGGCAGACGTGGTTGCAGCACGCAGGGGAAGCCCTCCTCACCTGTCCTGGCCCCCATCTGTGCCCGCAGGCCGTGCTGTTCCAGCTGCGCCGTGGAATCCTGCTCCTGAGACTGGGTGGCACCCCACAGGTACATGGGCTACGGTGTGGCTCTTGCTTTCCTTGGGGTTTGTTGGTGGCTTTCTGCGCCAGCTGAGCAGTGCTGCAGCCTCTCCCTGGCCAGTGGGCTCTTCTCCACAAGAAGCGGGGACGAGTGTTTTTCCCCCAGCTCGCCCTGCTCCTGGGCCCTGCGCCGTGCCCCGGCCCCTCTGTCAGCCACCGCAGGGCGCTGGGGCAGAAGGAGCTCCCAGCACGCACTGGCAACGGTTTTGCTCTGTGCCTGTAGGTGATTTGTCCGGGACGTCCGAGCATGGTCCTGTCCTCGTGCCCCAGGGCGATCCCCCAAGTAAGTCAGCGGGAGGGAGGAGCGAGCATTGCCCTTGTTGTTTGCTGCCCGCGTGCAATGGACCTTCAGCCTTCCTTGGCCTCAGCCGCGCAGGAGAGCAGAGAGGGAAGGGCTCAGGCTCGGTGACACGCCTGGGGCGCTTTGCCTTGCCAAGCTGTCTTTGCCAGCCGCTCCGCCCCCATGCGTGCTGCAGAGCCAGCGGGCACGGTGGGCTTGAGTTTCGAGCCTGGGCTGAGCTCTGGGGAGGCCCTTCTCTGGGCAGCTGCACGCACGCTTCGTTCGTCTTGTCCCGGCACGCTGGCACTGCAGGCCCCTGCTGCCTGTTTGCAAGAGGCTCCTGGGCAGGAGGGAGAGCCCAGGGCCGTGCAGCAATCCCCTGTGGGAGCTGCGTGATGGGAAGAAGCATCCCGCCCTGTTTGGTGGGAGCTGCTCTGTTCTGTGTTTGCTTGCAGGTGTGGCTGTAGGCGACGGCTCTCCAGCTTCTGTGCTGGGTCCTCGAAGAGCAAGGCATCAAGCGAGAAGAGGCCAAAGCTCCCAGAGGACCTCGGCTATCCTGCAGGAAATCCTGCAGGAACTGGAGGGAGCACAGGGTGGGTGTGCTGCACGGGGAAGCCTGAGGGGCTGGCTACAGCCGTGTGCATGCTGAGAAGCATCGCCTGCTGCAGCTAGAAGCATCCTCCTGCTGAGGAGCGGTCGCTCCCAGTGCAACTGTGCCGCTTTCTTGCCGAAGGGGCGGACGGAGAGGCTGTGCAGAAGGAGGCGCTTCCCAGGGGAAACACGCTGCCAGGCTCGGAGGGAGCGCCAGAGGCAGCGCCAGCGACCGTCCCGCCAGGTAACTGCCGTCCGGTGGCACGCTTAGCACAGAGCAGGTGCTGCCAAAGGAGCCTGGAAGCGCTCTGGAGGAGGGCTGTGGGCTCTGGCACGCGGAGCTCAGCGCCAGCAGTGTGCCAGAGATGCTGGCGGGCCTCTGTGCCTGTGGCTGGGGATCGCCTGCCTCCCACCGCAGCCCGTTGCAGCCCATGACCCGTACCAGAGCGTACCTCCCGCAGCACCTGAGCCCCGCAGCTTGCCCAAGTCCCCAGGGGCCCAAAGCAGCACCGCAGCAGCGAGTGGGACCCCTCCTGTGACCTGTGGCCCAGGGGGCTGCACGGACTCGCAGAGGGAGCCTCTCCGTCCGCCCGTCCGTCCGCCCGTCCTTCGGCATCCTCTGTGCCTAAGCCGTGCTGAGGCTTTCCCTTTCTCTCCTTCTTGGCAGTGCTCTCGGAGCCCGGAGAAGCCCGCCACACCGGGGTGTTCCAATTTTTTCAAGAGAATCCAGGTACTGAGCAGCCCGTAAGCGGGAGCCGCGAGCATGGCGGCGGCGCCTTCTGCTGCAAGCAAGGCAGCTTCTTCCCGGAGAGGCTGGCAGCGGGAGAGCGACCGTCTCGGCACTGCCAGAGCTCCCGCAGGCTGCCCAGCAGCGCGAGGACGCGCTAAGCCCCAGAGCTGTTCCTCCAGGTGCAGCTGGCGAGAGGAGCGCGAGTGCCTCGGCCGGTGCCGCCGTGCGCAAGCACTGCCTCGTGAGCGCGGCGGCAATCGTGGGCTCCCTGCTCTTCGGCACGCTTCTGTGCTGCGGGGTCATCCGGCTGCGCAGGAGAAGACAGCAGTGAGCGGCCGTCTCTCGCCCCAGCTCCCCGTCGGCTGGCTGCCGCTGGCCTTGCAGCACCGCCGCTGAGGTGCTGCGGCGCGGCCGCCGGGTGCTGCCCAGCCTCCTCTCTCCGCAGGCGCCTCTCCGCAGCCTCGGAAGCCCGGGCACCGAGACGGGCCCAGCGCCAGCGGCCGCCACCCGGGCCTGGACGAGCGCACCCCAGCCGGCTGCAGCGCGACCGGCCCAGCGCCCTCCAGCCCCCGTGGATACCACCCCCCCGGCCCCCACCACCGTCCCGGCCCTCCTGCCAGGGCTGGGGGCGGCCCCCCGGCGTGCAGGGCAGCGGGGGGGTGAGGACTGGCAGCCGTCCGGCAGCTTGTCCGAATAAAGCTCTGCACCCGAATCGCCAGTGTCCAGGCTGTGCTTCGCCTCGCGCTAAGTGGCCAGGGGAGGGAGAAGCTACAAGCAACCTGCAGACACCTTTCCCCCCTCTCCAGCCTCTTCTGCCCCTTGTCCCCGCTCTCTTGCCCTGCTCCAGCACGCAGGCCCTCCCATGGCATTGCAGGCCTTCCCAACGGGGTCCTGCATGGGCTTCCCTTTCTCTGCGACACCAGGAAAGGGGAGGCACCGCCATCAACAGGCTGTTCCCAGTGCTGGCAGCCTTGGGGACACCAGAGCATTCCAGACACGAGCTGGGGCTCTCTTCCGAGCAGCTGCGAACGAGGCTGTCCCTTCTCAGATCCGCTTTCCAGCCAGCGGCAGAACAGAGGCAGAACCTCTTCCTCCAGCTTTCCTGCTTCTTTCGCGCTGTTTGCCTGCCTGTTCTTTGTCTCCTTGTCCTGGCCAGCCTGTTGTCCGGCACCCTGTGGGCTGGACACACAGCTCTCTGTCTCCTCAGGCTTTTCCTTACAGCATCAACAAGTCCTGAGCCCTGCGGGTTGGATGGCTGAGAGAGGGAGTTAGGGGGATACAAGAAATCATTAGCCACTAAAAAGGAGGAATTATCCTTTCAAACAAGGCTTTAGAGTCCAAGGAAGAGGCTTTCTGCCCTAATATGTGATGCTGGGGCCAAAAAATGTCAGGGCAGCGTGGTGCACACTCCACTCTCTGCTTCCTCAAAATGGATGTTCGGACCCTAAAATTCAGGCCTCGGCTCCTAGCATGAGGATTTGGGGATTTGAAAGCAGCGCTTTCTCACATACGGCTTTGCCATCTAAGAAGGACGCGTTGCATCTTATAATAAAACTGTGGACCCTAAAAATAGGGAATTGCCCCTTGGAAATGGCAGCCTGCTCTGTAGGATTGACATGTAAGCAAAGGCGGCTTTGGATCCCAACTATAGGCTCTCTTGTCCTGAAAACGTCCTGAAAGCTGGGTGCTTAAGAACAAGGCTGTGGTCTATACAGAGGAGCCTTGGTGCCATGCCTGTATGCTTCTCAGCTGCAAAGTAAAGGTGAGAAAAAGGCTTTGGATCCGCAAAAGATGCTCTTAGCCCTGAAGTGAAGGGGTAATAGGGCAGAAGTCCCCGTGAAGTCCTTCGGCACGATGAAGGCCTGCGTGAGCTCCAGCAGCAGTTTCGTCAGCGGAGGTTTTCCCTGGTGGGGCTGGGGCGTCACAGCACGCACTCACGCACACACACACACACACACACAGAGAGACACGTGGTTTTGTCCAAACATTAAGTATTTACAACAAATTCGACAAGCGCTTTTCCTCTGCCAGCAGCAAATGCCTGAGGGCCCCCACAGCTTCACAAATCATAGCGGGAAGAGCCTACCGTGCCGCAAAAAGGTCGGAAAATAATCCAAAATTGATCTGCTAGGGGAAAAAAAACGATGGCTGGTGGCAGGGTACACAATACACCCGAATCTCAGCTCTGTCCTCCACAGGGTCAGTGCCCACGCCCAAGCGCGATGCTGATGGCACCCGAACATTTGCAGTAGCAGGCAGCAGAGCCAGCAGCTCAGGGGAGCACTTTTGAAAACCAAGAGGCACTTAAACAACCCTTCATCGACCCCGTGACTGCGGCAGAGTCCCGACTGCTCGCCCCGGAGTCCTCACACCAGCAAAAAGCACCAACCAAAGCCTGGGGGAACTTTGGTACAGCACAAGAGAAGGGAGTGGGGGTAGCGGAGCCGCATGGCAGAGCTGCTGTTTTTCACCATTTGATCATCCCTGAGAACTGAAAGTAAGGCTGGGTGGGCTGACCCCCACCCCCACTCCTGGCAGCAAGCTCGGTCCACAACACACTGGAATAACGATTCTGCTCCCTCCCACCCCTACAGCTTCATCATCTGACACGGGTACAGTCAAAACAATGGCATACACGAGTAGAAGTCACGAGTTGACATAGTAACTCCAGGATTTGGCTATCAACTGTCCGAGAAATCAGAACACCGAAGCTTCACAATGTGCCCAACATCGAGTTGTGCCAAGGGGGGAGGAAGGAAGAAGCTTTACGTTTAAGCCTTCAGAGCATCGCTCCATCAGAAGATCGATTTGCAGCCACCATGGCGTGCCAATGGAGATCTTTCTGTGCCAAAAGAAGTGCTTTGTCCTCTCGATAGCGAAGGTAGCCACCTATAGTTACAGAACGGATGCACAAGCCCTTAACTCTGACCAGCAGGGAAATTTAGGACAACTGAGTGCACATCCTGCCAATTTCTACCAGTTCAGACTGTGCTTTAAGTCTCATTGCAAAGCCTCAGTTAGAAAAAGGATCACCTCGGGGTATCCAACAAGAAGAACAGTTTTAATATACCATAGGACTACGCAGTTCAACTGTCAATCATCTCGGAGAGTTCAAGGAGGAGCTCATCCTCGTCCTTCCCTAGGTCTAAGTCGATTTCGGCTTCCAGTCTGCCTCCTGAGATTTCCCAAAGTAGCTGCTCCAAATCGTCATCCACAGATAAGGGCGCGTTCCCTGTGGAACTCAGTCGGCGTGTCTGTGCCTCTTCTAGCTGGGAAGAAGCTGAGGTCGAGGTCTCGAGATCGATCTCCATCTGCTCCTCTAATCTTGCCGGGCTTCCGAGACGCACTTCAGTTCTTGGGAGAGCAAGAAAGAACAATCAGGATATGCCATTTCTTAACAGGCAATCCCTTTTCTGCAAACCGGCTCTTAAAACTGTAGGCAAGCCCTCCTACGCTTCAATCTTACACAGGGATTGTTATCAATCAACCCAGGGCTACATTTAGAGCCCGATGTGTTGCCAGGTACATTTTTCAGTCTGGGGCTTTATCTGTGAAGCCAGGGCACCTGGAGTTGAGGTGGCATTCTTGAGGATCAAAAGGCAGAGGACACTACTGCTCATCTATCACCTCACGAGGAAGTAGAACTTCACCTCCTCCTCATTCAGGTATTCAGACAACCCAAGAAGTCACTGGAAAGCTGTGCCGACTTGCAGCATTTAAAGAAAGCCTAATTAAGCAATCCTGCTAGCTGCTAGAAAGTGGTTTCAGGTGACTTATTCCTTTGATGGATTTGGGCTTTAATGATCTCAGAACCCTCCTTTTTTCCCACATGTGACAGAACTTATGTTTCCCTGGGGATATACACTGATTAAGAAAAAGAACAAGTTGGGGTTGTCACCTGTTTGGGGCATTTTCTTCAAGTCTGATGGCTGGGATGTGCTCCGGCATGTCTGAAACACCCTAGAAAGCAGCAAAACAGTATTTATGACACATGGGTAAAAGATTCCTTAATAGCTTTTTCCTCCACACTGCTTCTCCTCTGGCATTGCGGAGCCGTGGCCAAAATACAAAACCAAGGTGCTCCTGAAGAAAGTTCACATTCACCTGGAGGTTACTCATGATCTTGTGTCTTTTAAGAACATGGCATTCATGGACAAAATCCCCCCCACCAGAGAAATCACAGCATCACAGTACCGGTTAAAGAGTGCCATTCAGCTCATAAATACAGAAGGGTTCTACAAGCATCCTGTAGACAGCTACTGGATTTCAAAGGAAACAGAAGGCCTGCAGAACGTTTGACTTTTCCACCTTTTCTCCTAGAGGAGGGTAGGGTTTTAACAAGGGATCCATCTCTGCATTAGCCCCTGGCCTTACCATGGCTGCTTTTTTGGCTGGAGGTCCCATCATGTCAGCATCCAAGGCACTCCGGAGTTCCACAGCTGCTATGGCAGAGGGATAACTCCCAGGTGCCTTACGTTTCAGTGCCTTCTTCTTGGGGAAAGTGACTTTCCCACCCGAAGGCTTCGCAGATGTCATCAAGTTGGCTAGAGTAAAAGGAAGAGAGAACTGATACAGTCTTGCTCTGCCTCAGGAAAAATCCAGGTTCTCTTCATCATTTCCACAGTCCTTCTACACAGTTAAATGCATTTGGCCAGCAGAATTGCACCGCCATTGCCTGGATTCTCAGGAATGTTTTCCACATAGTAAACTCTGTCTACCAACAATCCATACAAAGGAACCAAGAAACCGAATAGCTACAGTAAATAAGAATCCAGGACAAGGGAAACCTCAGACACATAGCAATCCTAAGTGCAAGCTACGTTCACAAATATAGACAGCTTTTATATTTCAAGTCCTGCTCCCTCTAGGAAAGGAAAAAGCAGCAGTTAGAGTAGGACAAGAGTGTATGCAACTGTTGTACCAGCTGCCTCTCCCTTGCAGTGATGTCCCACAGTTAAGTTGTTCTACAAAGTCCAAATTTGTAGTGTCATTTTCTACTCTCCCGTTCCTTACCTAACATCTGGCTGGCAGGAAAAGAAACAAACTAAGAAAAAGAAAGTCCACACTTCGCTTCGTAGCATTGCGTGGCAAAATGCACCCAGCCAGAGTTACAGCATGAGAATTGTCATCTTCTGTCTGTATTTCAGAAGACAACCTAAGGAACTCTTAACCTTCAACACTTACTTTTAGCTTCCCGGCCCTGAAATTGAGCTGCCACTTTCCCTGCTGGTTCGGTATGAAAGAAGCCAGCAGCAGATTTGACAGCAGCTTCCTCCTTCCCAAGCTTCTCTTGTTGTTCTCTCTGTTGCCACTTCTCCCACCGGCTCTCTTCAAAGCTCTTCTCTGGACATTTAAGACTTCCACTCTGCTGAGTGGGCTAGAAGGAAAGAAAAGCAGTGCATGAATAGGACCAAAAAAAAAATCCGTGGAGATTTCGTTAAGAAAATCTGATCAGCAATCCCTCCAAAATGGTCTTGATGTGGAACAGCATATTAATATCGTTCAGGTTACTGTTGTATTTTTTTTTTTTTCCCTAAAATTCTGCCTGTAACAAGAGCCATGCTTTACTATGGACACAGTCTCACGTATCTGCAATATCCACTATGGCAAGCTTCTTTAAACAGCTAGGGTGTTCTGCTGTACATCTATTTATCACATTCTTTTTGTCTGACAGATCAAGTCAGTAAGAACAAAAAGAATTCCCTCCACGTTAACTGTGTAGATTTCAGCTGGTGCTA